TTGTTAGCTGACATCGCTAATTGATTGACTGTCAGTGACTGACATAAGAAAAAAAAACTGCTGACTCACAACCAAATGTCTAAATTGCACCTGGTGTATTCTACTATTCTTACTTTCAATAGTAAGTTGAGACCCCGACTGAGCTCCTAAGATATTGTCAAACCACGTCAAGAGGCAGTAAATGGACTGGTAGTAGCTTGAGATGGACTTGTCCTCCAGGCAAGCAACCAGAGCCATGTCGTCTGCATATTTGATGAGGGCCATATCGCTGTTGCTTCCTAAGAGATTTGTCCACATCCTGCCTTTGTCTGTCAGGTAAGTGAATATAATCTCTTTGTCCTAATGTTCTTTCCTCTTTCAGTTTCTGTCCTGTGTTCTTTCTTTGTGAATTTTATCCACATGATTCAGAAGATTAGTCTTCTGAGTGAATCTTTTACCACAGAATGTGCAGCCATGTGGTTTCTCTCCTGTGTGAATCAGTTTGTGCCTCCTTAGGTCCCCCTTCTGATTGAAGCTTTTCCCGCAGTCACCACAGCTAAATGGTTTCTCTCCTGTGTGAGTCAGTTTGTGCAGGGTTAGGTGCTCTTTCCGATTGAAGCTTTTCCCGCAGTCACCACAGCTAAATGGTCTCTCTCCTGTGTGAGTCAGTTTGTGCATGGTTAGGTGCCCTTTCCGATTGAAGCTTTTCCCGCAGTCACCACAGCTAAATGGTTTCTCTCCTGTGTGAGTCAGCTTGTGCAGGGTTAGGTGCCCTTTCCGATTGTAGCTTTTCCCACAGTCACCACAGCTAAATGGTTTCTCTCCTGTGTGAGTCAGCTTGTGCAGGGTTAGGTGCCCCTTCCGATTGAAGCTTTTCCCGCAGTCACCACAGCTAAATGGTTTCTCTCCTGTGTGAGTCAGTTTATGTTCAGTTAGGCTCACCTTCCGTTTGAAGCTTTTCCCACAGTCACCACAGCTAAATGGTTTATCTCCTGTGTGAATCATCATGTGCTTGGACAGAACTCCTTTGTATTTGAAGGTCTTTCCACAAACAGGGCAGGTGCAGGGATTCCCACCTTGACAGAGTTTGACGTGGGCCTTCAGTTTACAGGTGGAGTTGTAGAGTTTTTTGCAGAAGTGGCATTCACCGAGTCTCTTCTTGGTGAGGGTCACATGCCTCTGCAGGTCATCTTTCAGGGCAAACGTTTCACCACAGTCACAGCAGCAGTGAGTATTTCTAGACTTGGTGCTGGGTTTGAAACTGTGTTCACCCATTGGTGGGTTTCGATCCAATGTTAAGCTGCTTATGGCTGAGCTGTGGCTGGAGGCATTGTTTTGATTATCTGGAGGGTCACAGGGAATGTAGAGACCCTTTAGGTGGGTCCCAGTGCCAAAAGGTTTGAGATCCACTGGTTTAGAGTCACTCTCTCTGTTCTCCACAGTCTGGGTTTGGGGAAGAGTCAAGGACCGAAGTGGGTCCTCCTGATCACATTCACTTTTCACACAGGAAGGTATAAATTTGAACTCTATGATATCAGCATCCAGCCCTTGAAGCTGCTCTTCCTCCTGACTGATCCTGAGTTCCTCCTGTTCCTCTTTAATCTGTGTGGGCTTTGGGTCCTCCTGCCCCAGACTGGGGCTCCACTCCTGCTCACAGTGCTGCTGCTCAGGGGGAACCTCCTCTTCAGAGAGAGAGAGCTGCAGGGAGTCTGGAGGGAAGGAGAGGAGCAGAGGTTACCTAGCTATACAGCCTTGATCCAGAGGTTACCTAGCTATACAGCCTTGATCCAGAGGTTACCTAGCTATACAGCCTTGATCCAGAGGTTACCTAGCTATACAGCCTTGATCCAGAGGTTACCTAGCTATACAGCCTTGATCCAGAGGTTACCTAGCTATACAGCCTTGATCCAGAGGTTACCTAGCTATACAGCCTTGATCCAGAGGTTACCTAGCTATACAGCCTTGATCCAGAGGTTACCTAGCTATACAGCCTTGATCCAGAGGTTACCTAGCTATACAGCCTTGACCCAGAGGTTACCTAGCTATACAGCCTTGATCCAGAGGTTACCTAGCTATACAGCCTATTGATCCAGAGGTTACCTAGCTATACAGCCTTGATCCAGAGGTTACCTAGCTATACAGCCTTGATCCAGAGGTTACCTAGCTATACAGCCTTGATCCAGAGGTTACCTAGCTATACAGCCTTGATCCAGAGGTTACCTAGCTATACAGCCTTGATCCAGAGGTTACCTAGCTATACAGCCTTGATCCAGAGGTTACCTAGCTATACAGCCTTGATCCAGAGGTTACCTAGCTATACAGCCTTGATCCAGAGGTTACCTAGCTATACAGCCTTGATCCAGAGGTTACCTAGCTATACAGCCTTGATCCAGAGGTTACCTAGCTATACAGCCTTGATCCAGAGGTTACCTAGCTATACAGCCTTGATCCAGAGGTTACCTAGCTATACAGCCTTGATCCAGAGGTTACCTAGCTATACAGCCTTGATCCAGAGGTTACCTAGCTATACAGCCTTGATCCAGAGGTTACCTAGCTATACAGCCTTGATCCAGAGGTTACCTAGCTATACAGCCTTGATCCAGAGGTTACCTAGCTATACAGCCTTGATCCAGAGGTTACCTAGCTATACAGCCTTGATCCAGAGGTTACCTAGCTATACAGCCTTGATCCAGAGGTTACCTAGCTATACAGCCTTGATCCAGAGGTTACCTAGCTATACAGCCTTGATCCAGAGGTTACCTAGCTATACAGCCTTGATCCAGAGGTTACCTAGCTATACAGCCTTGATCCAGAGGTTACCTAGCTATATAAAACCTCAGAGTTCCGACACCCTAGGTCTGGAAAAAAGATAGTGTTAAAGGCGTGGTCACATGACATGTGATTTACATCCTAGGCTGTGTTTGTGACAACATGTACGTGGGCCAGACATCCAGATGCTTGAAACAGAGATGTAGCAAGGACGAAAATGATCTTGTTGCTTGTCACTTTGTCCGGTGCTCTCAGTGTGTCTTCTCTTCAATTCTAGGTGGAAGTGGCACCAAGAGGAGGAGACAACTCTGCTGGATACATACTTTAGGCCTCCAACTCAATCATCAAGTTTACAGACGACACAACAGTAGTAGGCCTGATCACCAAAAATGACGAGACGGCCTACAGGGAGGAGGTGAGGGCCCTGTTGGCATGGTGCTAGGCAAATAACCCCTCCAACAACGTCAACAAAACGAAGGAGATGATCGTGGACTTCAGGAAACAGCAGAGGGAGCACGCCCCTATCCACATCGACGGGACCGCAGTGGAGAGTTCCTCGGCGTACACATCACTGACAATCTGAAATGGTCCACCCACACAGACAGGGTGGTGAAGAAGGCGCAATAGCCTCAGGAGGCTGAAGAATTTCGGCTTGGCCCCTAAGAACCTCAGAAACTTTTACAGATGCACAATTGAGAGCATCCTGTCAGGCTGTTTCACCGCCTGGTACGGCAACTGCACCGCCCGCAACCGAAAGGCTTTCCAGAGGGTGGTGCGGACTGCCCAACGCATCACCGGGGGCAAACTGCCTGCCCTCCAGGACACCTACAGCACCCGATGTCACAGGAAGGCCAAAAGGATCATCAAGGACATCAACCACCTGAGCCACGGCCTGTTTACCCCATTATCATCCAGAAGGCGAGGTCAGTACAGGTGCATCAAAACAGGGACAGAGAGACTGAAAAAGAGCTTCTATCTCAAGGCCATCAGACTGTTAAATAGCCATCACTAGCCGGCTACCACCCGGTTACTCAACCCTGCACCTTAGAGGCTGCTGCCCTATATACATAGACGTGGAATCACTGGCCACTTTAATAATGGAACACTGGCCACTTTAATAATGTTTACATAGTGCTTTACTCATCTCATTCTTTTACTTTTTAGATTTGTGTATTGTTGTGAATTGTTAGATACTACTGCACTGTTGGCACTAGGAACACAAGCATTTCGCTACACCCGCAATAACATTTGCTAAATAGGTGTATGTAACCAATTAAATTTGATTTGAAGTACAGAGAGATCCTTGATGAAAACCTGCTCCAGAGCACTCAGGACCTCAGACTGAGGCGAAGGTTCACCTTCCAACAGGACAACGACCCTAAGCACACAGCCAAGACAATGCAGGAATGGCTTCGGGACAAGTCTCTGAATGTCCTTGAGTGGCCCAGCCAGAGCCCGGACTTGAACCCTATCTAACATCTCTGGAGAGACCTGAAAATAGCTGTGCAGCGAAGCTGCCCATCCAACCTGACAGATCTTGAGAGGATCTGCAGAGAAGAATGGGAGAAACTCACCAAATACAGGTGTGCCAAGCTTGTAGCGTCATACCCAAGAAGACTTGAGGCTGTAATCGCTGCCAAAGGTGCTTCAACAAAGTACTGAGTAAAGGGTCTGAATACTTATATAAATGTAATATTTCCGTTTTTATAACTTCTAAATCAAAAAAACTGTTTTTGCTTTGTCATTATGGGGTATTGTGTGTAGATTGATGAGGAAACAAACAATTTCATCAATTTTAGAATAAGGCTGTAACGTAACAAAATGTGGAAAAAGTCAAGCGGTCTGAATACAGGTGTCTGTAATTATCTCTGGCTCGCTAAGGCTGCCCAAGTCTGATATTTTCCCCATTAATTGGTCATTTGACCAATCAGATCAGCACAAAAAAATTATCTGATGCGAAAAGATCTGATGTGATCGGTCAAAAGAACAATTCGTGGAGAAAAACTATCAGAATTGGTCTCAATAAACGCAGCGTTAGTGGCTTTATCTTTCCTACTGTTTGAGGAGATTTGCTCTGATGAAGGTTGAATGACCGAAAGCCAAAATTAAAGAAATGTGTATCTTTTTTTTTCCTCTTCTGTTTCTCAAGTCAGTAAATTCTAGAACCTATTTTCATACATTCAAATAACTTCCTGGTTTTCGTGACACAGACACGTCTTTATCCATGTACAGTAAAAGTAAATAAAAACATATTAATTGAGTAGAACTGTATGAAGATATCAGAAGATCTACATACAAACCTATTCTACATAGTTTTATCTCCGGTGAGATCCGCAGCAGTCTCCGTAGTCGATCATTCTCCTCCTGGTACTCCGCTAATGTTTTCGCAAATGCCCCGGAAATCTCCACAGCAGCAAACGCCGTTAAACGCTCATTTAAAAACTCTCGAAACAACTGTAGTTTAGAGATTTTCAGTGGACTGAGAGTTGGGTGTTCAGCTAGTATGGCTTCTTGACGTGGGTCCTCCAGATCACATTCACTTTTCACACAAGGAGGAGTGAATATGAACTCTATGATATCAGCCTCCAGCCCTTGAAGCTGCTCTTCCTCCTGACTGATACTGAGTTCCTCCTGTTCCTCTTTAATCTGTGTGGGCTTTGGGTCCTCCTGCCCCAGACTGGGGCTCCACTCCTGCTCACAGTGCTGCTGCTCAGGGGGAACCTCCTCTTCAGAGACAGAGACAGAGAGCTGCAGGGAGTCTGGAGGGAAGGAGAGGAGGAGCAGAGGTTACCACAGTCCCCAAATCCAGAACTAATTCCAGAAAGCGTCCAGTATTATATAGAGCCATTGTTGCATGGAACTCTGTTTCATCTCATACAGCTCAAATAAACAGCAAACCTGGTTTAAATAAAACGGATAAAGCAACACCTCACGGCACAACGCCTCTCCCCTATTTGACTTAGATATGTTGTGTGTATGTATTGATATGTAGGCTACGTGTTATGATGAGTTTCTGGTATCGAGAAGTTCAGGATGCAAGAGAGTAGTCGACACTTAGATGGAGATTTGATTCAGTCACTATTTAATGGTAACAGTACTGGATTCAATGACAGGCGGTACGGACGTAGCCTCTTGTCATATGAATGACTTCCATAGAAAATCTCTCAAGTTTATTTAATGCTCTCCGAGCTGCTTCTGTCCCAAACAGTTGCCAACCATTATTGAGTGTCACTCATCTACTACAATAGCATCCACATACTTGGGATTGTGTGTCACCCTAGCCAGGCCAGTCCATCACGTTTACCTTATAAGATTATCCCAAGTGGCCCCCAATCTATCACCGACCCTCATTCACCAGTGACTTCTATAAACACATGGCGTGTCCTTGTCCTCTCTCCCACATACAGCTTAGGAGTTGTACCTACATTAATGAATCCTGTATCAAACAGTCGTCATATCACTACTTGTGCCCTTTTTAAACATTTATGTAATTCTGTCCTTGAGCTGTTCTTGTCTATTAATGTTCTGTATTATGTCATGTTTTGTGTGGACCCCAGGAAGAGTAGCTGCTGCTTTTGCAACAGCTAATGGGAATCCTAATAAAATACCAAATTACCACAGTATGAGTCATAATACCCATAAAACCTAATGGTCAAACAGGGAAATGGTTCTAATCGTTTTTCCACCATTAATTTTTCCCATAGGGGATTTTACAATGTCTTAAAATAAGGACTGTGTTTCATGTAGGCTTACCCTGGCGTGACGTTTTGATAACTGTGTAAATCTCTCTAGGACAAGGTGACATTTATCAATATATTCACTTCTATTCATCCCCCAAAAATGAAATGCTAATTAGCTCCTAATGTGGCTATCATAAAGAACTACAAACGCCATGATGATCTGGACGAGACTGTCGAATCGAGGCAAAGTTAAGAATCTCTGGATTAACCATCTAATGTTATCTAAATATAGTAATGCATAAATTGGCTTCATTTCTTACAAATTGACAATTCTGTGAACTGTCTTGTGCAAGTTTTAAATGGACAAAATACCTGATCGCAAAGGTGTCCGTTAGAGATGACGTGCAGGCGCTTGCAGGGATTTGTAGTTTTGTATTATGTCTACTTTGATGCTAATTAGCATTTTAGAATCAGAGTAAATAGAGCCGAATATCAGTGGAGGCTCCTCAAAGGAAGGGGAGGACCATCATCCTCAGTGAATTTCATAAAAAATCAAATAGTGAAACATTTAAAAAGTTATCCTTTTTAGATAAAACTATACTAAATATATTCACGTCACCAAATAATTGATTAAAACACACTGTTTTGCAATGAAAGTCTACAGTAGCCTCAGCAGCACTCTGTAAGTTAGCACCATGGTGTAGCCGGAGGACAGCTAGTTTCTGTCCTCCTCTGGGTACATTGATTTCAATACAAAACCTAGGAGGTTCATGGTTCTTGCCCTCTTAATAGACTTACACAGTAATTATGACAACTTCCGGACGACATCCTCCAACCTATCAGAGCTCTTGCAGCATGAACTAACATGTTGTCCACACAATCATAGGATTGGATAATGAATCTAGTACTGAAAGCATAAGCTACAGCTAGCTAGCACTGCAGTGCATAAAATGTGGTGAGTAGTTGACTCAAAGTGAGAGAAAGACAATAGTTGAACACTTTTGAACGAATTCATTTCTTCAAAATTGGAAGAGAGAGCTAGCTATATTTAGTATATTTTTCACTGGCTATGGCTAACACTGAACTCTTCCAAGTCAAGGTAAGCTTTTGGTTGTATTAATTTATTGCCACTGGGGCCCACTGGTGTAACCGCTAAACTGCTTGCTGACTACACTGTACTGCATGATTGTAGAGGTTTTACTAACGTGTTAGTTCTAGTAGCTATGCTGACTATGACGTTAGCTAATAATGGTTACAACGATGTAGGCTGTGTGTAACGGTTAGTGGTTATGATATGAAGGCTTGTAAAGATTTGTTTGTAGAGCATGGCGTTTGCAACGCCAGGGTTGTGGGTTCGTTTTCCACGGGGGGCCAGTATTAAAATGTATACACTCACTAAAAAAACTGTAAGTCGCTCTGGATAAGAGCGTCTGCTAAATGACAAAAAAAAATATATGCAGTGGGGAGAACAAGTATTTGATACGCTGCCGATTTTGCAGGTTTTCCTACTTACAAAGCATGTAGAGGTCTGTAATTTTTATCATAGGTACACTTTAACTGTGAGAGACGGAATTTAAAACAAAAATCCTGAAAATCACATTGTATGATTTTTAAGTAATTAATTTGCATTTTATTGCATGACATAAGTATTTGATCACCTACCAACCAGTAAGAATTCCGGCTCTCACAGACCTGTTAGTTTTTCTTAAAGAAGCCCTCCTGTTCTCCACTCATTACCTGTATTAACTGCACCTGTTTGAACTCGTTACCTGTATAAAAGACACCTGTCCACACACTCAATCAAACAGACTCCAACCTCTCCACAATGGCCAAGACCAGAGAGCTGTGTAAGGACATCAGGGATAAAATTGTAGACCTGCACAAGGCTGGGATGGGCTACAGGACAATAGGCAAGCAGCTTGGTGAGAAGGCAACAACTGTTGGCGCAATTATTAGAAAATGGAAGAAGTTCAAGATGACGGTCAATCACCCTCGTTCTGGGGCTCCATGCAAGATCTCACCTCGTGGGGCATCAATTATCATGAGGAAGGTGAGGGATCAGCCCAGAACTACACAGCAGGACCTGGTCAATGACCTGAAGAGAGCTGGGACCACAGTCTCAAAGAAAACCATTAGTAACACACTACGCCGTCATGGATTAAAATCCTGCAGCGCACGCAAGGTCCCCCTGCTCAAGCCAGCGCATGTCCAGGCCCGTCTGAAGTTTTCCAATGACCATCTGGATGATCCAGAGGAGGAATGGGAGAAGGTCATGTGGTCTGATGAGACAAAAATAGAGCTTTTTGGTCTAAACTCCACTCGCCGTGTTTGGAGGAAGAAGAAGGATGAGTACAACCCCAAGAACACCATCCCAACTGTGAAGCATGGAGGTGGAAACATCATTCTTTGGGGATGCTTTTCTGCAAAGGGGACAGGACGACTACACCGTATTGAGGGGAAGATGGATGGGGCCATGTATCGTGAGATCTTGGCCAACAACCTCCTTCCCTCAGTAAGAGCATTGAAGATGGGTCGTGGTTTGGTCTTCCAGCATGACAACGACTCGAACCACACAGCCAGGGCAACTAAGGAGTGGCTCCGTAAGAAGCATCTCAAGGTCCTGGAGTGGCCTAGCCAGTCTCCAGACCTGAACCAAATAGAAAATCTTTGGAGGGAGCTGAAAGTCCATATTGCCCAGCGACAGCCCCGAAACCTGAAGGATCTAGAGAAGGTCTGTATGGAGGAGTGGGCCAAAATCCCTGCTGCAGTGTGTGCAAACCTGGTCAAGACCTACAGGAAACGTATGATCTCTGTAATTGCAAACAAAGGTTTCTGTAACAAATATTAAGTTTTGCTTTTCTGATGTATCAAATACTTATGTCATTCAATAAAATGCAAATTAATTACTTAAAAATCATACAATGTGATTTTCTGGATTTTTGTTTTAGATTCCGTCTCTCACAGTTGAAGTGTACCTATGATAAAAATCACAGACCTCTACATGCTTTGTAAGTAGGAAAACCTGCAAAATCGGCAGTGTATCAAATACTTGTTCTCCCCACTGTATATATGAAGGTTCGGATTGGAAAGATTTTTTTGCTGACTATGACGTTAGCTAATAACGGTTACAATGATGTAGGATGTGTGTAGCGGTTATGATATGAAGGTGTTGCTTGTAAAGATTTTTTCGCCTGGTCAGAGACAGCTGATGTGTTGTGCACTGAAGGGAAAAGGTGAGAGGAGGAGAGCATGTAAATGTGAGAAGGAATTATAGCTACAATATTCAAAGTGGTCATACTGTTTGTATGTGGCTGCTATGAAAGTGAACTGTGTTTGCGTGTGATCAGGGGTGTATTCATTCCACCGATTCTGTTGAAAAACTTTATTAAACAGAAGCAAACGGAATGGGAATAAACATACCTGAATTTGTCCAATAGAAACACTTGTTTGCAACTGTTGGACTAATGATTACAACCTAGATCCGCTAGATGCAGGCAAGAGTGTGCAAGGCGGTATTAAATGTGTCGCTGTCTGTCACCTTGATTACTCAAATGTTTCTCAACCTGTGCATCTATGTTGTAAACTTTCATTCATAGGCTAGTTTGTAGCAACCTCATGATGGGTATAGGGAACATGTGAGTATCATGTAGTAGCCTAAACCTAGCAATGTTACATTGGCATCGACCGCCAATGCCGAATATATTGCTAAAAGTCACCTTCTATGAGAGAGATTTACATGGTTATCAAAACGTCACGCTAGGGTAAGCCTACACGAAACCGTCTCCAATGGTGGAAAAACGATTGGAACCATTTCCCTGTTTGACCGCTAGGTTTTATGGGTATTATGACACCTCCACTGTGGGGTTCTATACAGGCTTCAGACATCAGGGTTGGGGTCAATTTGAATTTATAAGCCAGTAAATTCAAGGCTAGGTAAACTATAATTCCAATTCAATAATTAAAAACTAGAATCCATTTTCAATTACTTCTCAGTAATTGGAGAAGCTATTTATTACTAAAGTTTAAGCATTTTTGAATTATATATTAAAATCACTTCCTGTTTTTAGGACAATATTTTTATCCATACACGGTAAGTTTAAAAACAACTTCTTCAAAATGTATGAAGACGTGATCAGTTAACAGTTCATCAATAAAGTGGAACTATAGCTAGCTATCAGTATCTACATACGAACCTATTCGACATAGTTGTATCTCCGGAGTCAAACGCAGCATTCTCCGTAGCTGATCATTCTCCTCCTGGTACTCCACTACCGTTTTCTCAACTGCCCCGAAAATCTCCACAGCAGCCACCGTTAAACGCTCATTTAAAAACACACGCAACAACTGTTGTTTAGACATTTTCAGTAAAATGAGAGCTGAGTAGCCTATTTAACTTAGTCAGTATGTCTTTCTTTAAGCCACACAAAAAAAAAACTCGTTACCAATCCTACTTCCGTGTTCTAGTGAAGGAATCTAAGGACATCCTTTGTTCTAGTAGTTGGTGACGAACCCCAACAGCGCCGCCAGCTGGATGGGAGTTTACTGTGCAAGGCTGCCTACAGACCAGTAGTAAAGGAATACGATGACTACATGTAGATAAACAGTGGTTATCATTACTATAGGATGATCTGGGAAAATACATTATTCATCAGGAGCCAACTGTTTATCATTACTCCATACAAGATTAAATCAACGTCACGAATGAGCAGCATTGGAATCGTTTTTCATTTCCTGTATCAATTACATCAGCCTGATAAATCAAATGACTAGTTATTCCTGTTCAAATGAAGACCTGTGAATTTCCTACAATACTTTGTACTGTTTGATCGTTACCTAATAATTCAAATCAAATCAAACTTTATTTACATACAATGTTTTATGACATTAAATCCATCAGAGATCTATTTATCTGAGACCCACAGTATGAATGGTCTGGAGATGCTCTCCTTTCCTAAGAGTGTTGTTCACATCCTGCCTTTTTATTCCCATCTTCTGACTGATGTTCTTTCTTCTTTCGGTTTTCCTCTCTTTGTGGATATTATCCATATGCTTCAGCAGATGAGTCTTCTGAGTGAATCTTTTACCACAGAATGAGCAGCCATGTTGTTTCTCTCCTGTGTGAGTCTATGTTCAGTTAGGTGCTTCTTGCGATTTAAGCTTTTCCCACAGTCAACCTCCTCTTCTGAGACAGAGAGAGACACCTGCAGGTAGTCTGGTGGGAAGGAGAGCTTATCTATTGTGGGAAATTATTCTCTTATGTTTTAGATGTGCTGTTAGCTTAATAAGAAAGCATTAATGATTAAACATAATAGGTTTGTACTGTACTGATATAGATTGTTTAATATAACAAGCTGTGATTAATGTGGGGAACCGTTAGGGGGTAGGCTGAGATAAGACTTGTGACTCACACACACACACACACACTGCCTCTTTGTTAAACCGCCCAAGGACATGTGTACATAGAGCACAGTTAGAGTGGAAAAGTACCGAAAGCTGAAGAAGAACAAACTATGTCTGAGGTTGCTGACTCGAGACAAGTTGTAAAGATAACAACTAACGCCTGACAACAGTGGAGCGCCAAGGGACTGGGACCAGCCTGAGCGCCAGCGATAGGCTGGGTAAGTTTAAACCACGCCTAGCCTCTATTCTGACAGGCCCAGCAGGGAGCGGGAACTATCTCTGTCAGAGTATTTAAAGAAGAACTTATAACAAAAGATCAGTTCTCTGACTGCCCTGCGTGGTTTTTCAGTGGGCCCGTATATACGAACATCATATTTACCAATTCAAGTGTTTGCATTAATTAAAATACTAGTCTATTTTAGAAGACGTGTATTGACCTCTTTTTGTTCCTATACCAGATTTGAATTGACGCAACTTAACACTATATACCACATAATTAAATAGAACACTTGAATCATACAGGTGAATTCAAGATTTCTATGATCTAAACAGCTTTTAGACGTGCCTGAGTGCAAATAGCTAGGGCCAGCTTCCAAACCGAGATTGAAGATTTTTACAAAGTCCATATTGATACAGAAACACTAAACAATAATTCTGATTCTTTTTTATAACAAGCTGAGAGACAAAGTCATGAAAAATTGGAAAATTTGAACGCTACCAACCCTCCAAATCAAGAATAGCCAAAAACACATTTCTCTGGAGATATAATAATAAGTATTTGGTATTTTATTAGGATCCCCATTACTTTTCCGGGGGTCCACACAAATCATGAAACACACAAGTCATAATACAGAACATTAGAGAACACCTCACTCTGACCATTTTACTCGCCCTAGCAGAGCTGATTAGGCTGTTTTAATGTCATGCAGGGCGTTGGTGACTGTGACTGTGTCACGGTTTCGGCCGAGGCTGCCTCTCTCCCTTGCTCGGGCAGGCTTCAGCGGTCGTCGTCTCCGGAGTACTAGCTGCCACCGTTGAATGTTTCTATGTTCGTTTGGTTTTGTCTTGATTATGTACACCTGTTTTCGTTTAGCGCTAATGAGTGTCCTATAAGTTCTCGTTGTGTTTGTCAGGTGTTGTGTGTGATTGTTTCGCTGTCGTGTTTGTGCGCTACTGTTGACCGTTTGCACTTTGTAGTTTTCCTCCTCTGTTTAGGAGGGTATTATCGCACATGTTTAGTGCACCCTTTTGTTTTACGCCTGTGTGCGGATTTTCTCGCCTCCGGGCTTTTGGCTCGTGTATTTGAGTGTGCTTTCACTAAAGTCTTTTGGACTTATTTTCTGCGTCTGATTCCTGCACCACACCCACCTACAGCACCTACTGACAGAATCACACACCTGAAGGATGGAATCAGCAGGAGCCGCAGCAGCACATGAGACTCTGGAGGATCGGGTCCGTGAGCAGAATGACCAGATCCTTCGTATCGGGAACGCCCTGCAGGACGTTATTAACACCCTTCAACGCTGGGAGACCAGAGGGACACCCCCAACTCCACCTCCCCTGCCATCACCATCGGCCAGTCAGCCCATTCAAGCTCCGGAACCCAGGGGAATTCGACTCTCGCTCCCGAGGGCCTATGATGGGACCGCTGCCGGGTGTCAGGGCTTCCTTCTACAGGTGGACCTATACCTGGCCACCGTGCACCCGGCGCCCTCTGGACACGAGAGCGTGTCCGCCCTCATCTCCTGTCTTACCGGCAAGGCGTTGGAATGGGCCAACGCAGAGTGGAGGAGAATAGACGCCACCACCATCACTTACTCTGAGTTCTCCCGCCACTTCAGGGCGGTGTTTGACCAGCCACCTGAGGGGAAAGCGGCGGGGGAGCGTCTGTTCTACCTCCGGCAGGGGAGGAGGAGCGCCCAGGAGTTCGCTTTAGAATTCCGTACTCTAGCGGCGGATGCAGGGTGGAATGAGCGGGCCCTCATCGATCACTACCGCTGTAGTCTACGAGAGGACGTCCGTCGGGAGCTGGCCTGCAGGGATACCAGCCTCGATCAGTTAGTGGACATGTCCATCAGGCTGGACACCCTGCTGGCTACCCGCGGACGTTCCGAGGGGGGTCCGTCCATTTCATCCTCCAGCGCCTCCGAGCCGAGCCCTATGGAGCTTGGGGGCGCTGGCGCTAGAGAGAGGAGGGGTCGGAGTACGAGGGGGCCCGTCTCCTGCACCAACTGTGGCCGTGGAGGACACACCGCGGCTAGGTGCTGGGGATGGTCTCCTAGGGGAGAAGACGACAGGCTCCGCACTGGGGAGTCCTTCCAGGTGAGTAGGCGCCCCACTTACCCAGAGCTCTCTGTTGCGCACTTCTGTATACCTGTGCGTTTTCCACAGGTAGCACCTCATTCCCAGCATAAGGCGCTGGTAGATTCAGGCGCGGCTGGGAATTTTGTTGATAGAAAATGTTGTTTAGAATTAGGGATTCCCCTTCTTCCTGTTGATGTCCCATTCCCCGTTCATGCCCTAGATAGCCGTCCGTTGGGATCGGGCTTGATCAGGGAGGTCACGGCGCCACTTAGGATGTGTGCGCAGGGGGGTCATGAGGAGATTATCCAGCTATTTCTGATCGACTCGCCTGCGTATCCGGTGGTGCTGGGCATGCCCTGGTTGAGTATCCATAACCCGTCTATTTCGTGGCAGGAGAGGGCTCTGATGGAGTGGTCTGCCCAGTGTGTGGGTCGATGTTTAGGCGTTTCCGTGGGGGCTACCTCGGTGGAGAGTCCAAACCAGGTGCCCGCATTGCACATTCCCCCTGAGTATGAGGATTTGGCTATTGTGTTCAGTAAGTCGAGGGCGACGCAGTTGCCTCTCCATAGGCAGGGAGATTGTGCGATAGACCTCCAGGCAAGAGCTGCGCTCCCACGGAGCCATGTGTATCCTCTGTCTCAGGAGGAGAAGAGAGCTATGGAGACGTACATAGACGAATCTCTGAGACAAGGATACATACGGCCATCCACTTCCCCTGCGTCCTCGAGTTTCTTTTTTGTGAAGAAAAAGGATGGAGGGTTACGCCCGTGCATTGATTACCGTAGTCTCAATCAGATCACGGTGAAGTACAGTTATCCACTTCCTCTGATTGCGACCATGACGGAGTCATTGCACGGGGCGCGTTTTTTCACTAAATTAGATCTCAGGAGCGCGTACAACTTGGTGCGCATTAGGGAGGGCGATGAATGGAAGACAGCATTTAGTACCACCTCGGGGCATTACGAGTATCTTGTCATGCCATACGGGTTGATGAACGCTCCTTCAGTTTTCCAATCATTCGTGGATGAGATATTCAGGGACATGCAGGGGCAGGGGGTGGTCGTGTACATAGATGACATTCTCGTGTACTCGTCTACCCGAGTCGAGCATGTGGCCCTGGTGCGCCGAGTGTTGAGGAGGCTGTTGGAGCACGAGCTGTATGTCAAGGCAGAGAAGTGTCTGTTTTTCCAGGAGTCGATCTCCTTTTTGGGTTATCAGTTGTCTGCGTCAGGGGTGAAGATGGAGGTTGACCGGGTGTCAGCCGTGCGTAATTGGCAAACGCCAACCACTGTTAAAGAGGTGCAGCAGCTTTTGGGGTTTGCGAATTACTACCGGAGGTTTATCCGGGGTTTTGGACAGGTGGCAGCTCCCATAACGTCTCTTTTGAAGGGGGGTCCGGTGCGTTTGCAGTGGTCAGCCGAGGCGGACAGGGCTTTTGGGAGGCTGAAGGACCTGTTTACTTCGGCTCCGGTGCTGGCGCATCCGGATCCCTCTTTACCATTTCAGGTAGAGGTGGACGCGTCAGAGGCCGGTATAGGAGCCGTGCTTTCGCAAAAGTCCGGCACGCCACCTAAACTCCGCCCCTGTGCCTTTTATTCCAAAAAGCTCAGTCCGGCGGAGCGAAATTATGACGTAGGGGACAGGGAGCTGTTAGC